TACTACCTACTGCGTACTGCGTACCGAGTCAGTGCGTACTGCGTACCTCCTACTGCGTACCGAGTCAGTGCGTACTGCCTACTGTGTACCGAGTCAGTGCGTACTGCGTACCACCTACTGCGTCCCGAGTCAGTGCGTACCGCCTACTGCGTACCGAGTCAGTGCGTACTGCGTACCGCCTACTGCGGACCGAGTCAGTGCGTACCGCCTACTTTGTACCGAGTCAGTGCGTACCACCTACTGCATACCGAGTCAGTGCGTACTGCGTACCGCCTACAGTGTACCGAGTCAGTGCGTACCGCCTACAGTGTACCGAGTCAGTGCGTACCGCCTACTGCGTACCGAGTCAGTGCGTACTGCGTACCGCCTACCGAGTCAGTGCGTACTGCGTACCGCCTACTGCATACCGAGTCAGTGCGTACCGCCTACTTTGTACCGAGTCAGTGCGTACCACCTACTGCATACCGAGTCAGTGCGTACTGCGTACCGCCTACTGCGTACCGAGTCAGTGCGTACCGCCTACTTTGTACCGAGTCAGTGCGTACCACCTACTGCATACCGAATCAGTGCGTACTGCGTACCGCCTACTTTGTACCGAGTCAGTGCGTACCACCTACTGCATACCGAGTCAGTGCGTACTGCGTACCGCCTACAGTGTACCGAGTCAGTGCGTACTGCGTACCGAGTCAGTGCGTATCGCCTACTGCATACCGAGTCAGTGCGTACTGCGTACCGAGACAGTGCGTACTACCTACTGCATACCGAGTCAGTGCCTACTGCATACCGCCTACTGCATACCGGGTCAGTGCGTACTGCATACCGAGTCAGTGCGTACTGCATACTGAGTCAGTGCGTACTGCCTACTGCATACTGAGTCAGTGCGTACTGCCTACTGCATACTGAGTCAGTGCCTACTGCATACTGAGTCAGTGCGTACTGCCTACTGCATACTGAGTCAGTGCGTACTGCCTACTGCATACCGAGTCAGTGCGTACTGCATACTGAGTCAGTGCGTACTGCCTACTGCATACTGAGTCAGTGCGTACTGCCTACTGCATACTGAGTCAGTGCGTACTGCCTACTGAGTCAGTGCGTACTGCCTACTGCATACCGAGTCAGTGCGTACTGCCTACTGCATACTGAGTCAGTGCGTACTGCATACTGAGTCAGTGCGTACTGCCTACTGCATACTGAGTCAGTGCCTACTGCATACTGAGTCAGTGCGTACTGCATACTGAGTCAGTGCGTACTGCCTACTGCATACCGAGTCAGTGCGTACTGCATACTGAGTCAGTGCGTACTGCCTACTGCATACCGAGTCAGTGCGTACTGCGTACCGAGTCAGTGCGTACTGCCTACTGCATACCGAGTCAGTGCGTACTGCATACTGAGTCAGTTCGTACTGCCTACTGCATACTGAGTCAGTGCGTACTGCCTACTGCATACCGAGTCAGTGCGTACTGCATACTGAGTCAGTGCGTACTGCATACTGCATACCGGGTCAGTGCGTACTGCATACCGAGTCAGTGCGTACTGCATACTGAGTCAGTGCGTACTGCCTACTGCATACTGAGTCAGTGCGTACTGCCTACTGCATACTGAGTCAGTGCCTACTGCATACTGAGTCAGTGCGTACTGCCTACTGCATACTGAGTCAGTGCGTACTGCCTACTGCATACCGAGTCAGTGCGTACTGCATACTGAGTCAGTGCGTACTGCCTACTGCATACTGAGTCAGTGCGTACTGCCTACTGCATACTGAGTCAGTGCGTACTGCCTACTGAGTCAGTGCGTACTGCCTACTGAGTCAGTGCGTACTGCCTACTGCATACCGAGTCAGTGCGTACTGCCTACTGCATACTGAGTCAGTGCGTACTGCATACTGAGTCAGTGCGTACTGCCTACTGCATACTGAGTCAGTGCCTACTGCATACTGAGTCAGTGCGTACTGCCTACTGCATACCGAGTCAGTGCGTACTGCATACTGAGTCAGTGCGTACTGCCTACTGCATACCGAGTCAGTGCGTACTGCGTACCGAGTCAGTGCGTACTGCCTACTGCATACCGAGTCAGTGCGTACTGCATACTGAGTCAGTTCGTACTGCCTACTGCATACTGAGTCAGTGCGTACTGCCTACTGCATACCGAGTCAGTGCGTACTGCATACTGAGTCAGTGCGTACTGCATACTGCATACCGAGTCAGTTTGTCTGCGTGCATTAACTAAACAGAATAAAGCCAATGTTGCTGCAGGTCTCCAGCGCCCCCCACAGGAGTATGCTGCAAACTCTTCGTTCAGCATTCTCTTCATTCTTGCTAATGTAATACACAATACTGTAATGTAATACAGTAATACACATCCTGGCAGCATGCAGCTGAGCGTTCAGGAAACAAAATGACGTCTCACTCACTCTGAGTACTGTAGTATAGTGAAGTATGAATACTGTGTTCAAAGTGATAACAAGAGAACATAACTGGCCAATGAGAAGCGAGAGAGAGCTGTGGCGTTTCAGCTCAGTGTACAGTGGGTACGGAAAGTATTCAGACCCCTTTAAATTTTTCACTCTTTGTTTCATTGCAGCCATTTTCCAAAAATCAAAAAAGTTCATTTTATTTCTCAGTAATGTACACTCAGCACCCCATCTTGACAGAAAAAAACAGAAATGCAGAAATTTTTGCAAATTTATTAAAAAAGAAAAACTGAAATATCACATGGTCATAAGTATTCAGACCCTTTGCTCAGTATTTAGTAGAAGCACCCTTTTGATCTAATACAGCCATGAGTCGTTTTGGGAAAGATGCAACAAGTTTTTCACATCTGGATTTGGGTATCCTCTGCCATTCCTCCTTGCAGATCCTCTCCAGTTCTGTCAGGTTGGATGGTAAACGTTGGTGGACAGCCATTTTCAGGTCTCTCCAGAGATGCTCAATTGGGTTTAAGTCAGGGCTCTGGCTGGGCCATTCAAGAACAGCCACGGAGTTGTTGTGAAGCCACTCCTTCGTTATTTAGCGGTGTGCTTAGGGTCATTGTCTTGTTGGAAGGTAAACCTTCGGCCCAGTCTGAGGTCCAGAGCGCTCTGGAAAAGGTTTTCGTCCAGGAGATCCCTGTGCTTGGCCGCATTCATCTTTCCCTCGATTGCAACCGGTCGTCCTGTCCCTGCAGCTGAAAAACACCCCCACAGCATGATGCTGCCACCACCATGCTTCACTGTTGAGACTGTATTGGACAGGTGATGAGCAGTGCCTGGTTCTCCACACATACCGCTTAGAATTAAGGCCAAAAAGTTCTATCTTGGTCTCATCAGACCCGAGGATCTTATTTATCACCATCTTGGAGTCCTTCAGGTGTTTTTTAGCAAACTCCATGCGGGCTTTCATGTGTCTTGCACTGAGGAGAGGCTTCCGTCGGGCCACTCTGGTGGATTGCTGCAGTGATGGTTGACTTACTACAACTTTCTCCCATCTCCCGACTGCATCTCTGGAGCTCAGCCACAGTGACCTTTGGGTTCTTCTTTACCTCTCTCACCAAGGCTCTTCTCCCCCGATAGCTCAGTTTGGCCGGACGGCCAGCTCTAGGAAGGGTTCTGGTCGTCCCAAATGTCTTCCATTTGAGGATTATGGAGGCCACTGTGCTCTTAGGAACCTTAAGTGCAGCAGAAATTTTTTTGTAACCTTGGCCAGATCTGTGCCTTGCCACAATTCTGTCTCTGAGCTCTTCAGGCAGTTCCTTTGACCTCATGATTCTCATTTGCTCTGACATGCACTGTGAGCTGTAAGGTCTTATATAGACAGGTGTGTGGCTTTCCTAATCAAGTCCAATCAGTATAATCAAACACAGCTGGACTCAAATGAAGGTGTAGAACCATCTCAAGGATGATCAGAAGAAATAGACAGCACCTGAGTTAAATATGAGTGTCACGGCAAAGGGTCTGAATACTTATGACCATGTGATATTTCAGTGTTTCTTTTTAATAAATTTGCAAAAATTTCTACATTTCTGTTTTTTTCTGTCAGGATGGGGTGCTGAGTGTACATTACTGAGAAATAAAATGAACTTTTTGATTTTTGGAAAATGGCTGCAATGAAACAAAGAGTGAAAGATTTAAAGGGGTCTGAATACTTTCCGTACCCACTGTACATTAAAGCTGAATCCCTCTGAGGCGTTCCCGAGTGGGTCCGTGAGGGTCTAGGGATGTAACACTATCGTGAAGTGCACAAGGGCTCCCTCCAGTCCTTTGGAGTCCTCTCTGTAAGTTTGCATCTCTGTAGCCTGAGGGAATTACCCACAGTTCTTAGCGTTGTGACATGAAACACAGGGAAGCCTGCGTTTGGAAAAAAGTAAACAAACATGGAAGGAGCAACTTTACGTGTAAATATTCGGGTAGCATCGATTTATTGATTAGTTGTCAACTGTTAAATTAACTATTCTGATAATCGATTAATCGGCTTCAGTCCTCTTTATAAGAAGGAATGTTCAAATTCTCTGGTTCCAATTTCCTTGTGTCTCGTTTCTGTGACAGTAAACGGAACGTCTTTGGGTTGTGGACAGAACGAGACATGCGAGGACGCCACCTTCGGCTTCGGGGAACACTGATCGACATTTTTCACCATTTTCTTGACCAAACAACTGATGGATTCATCGAGAAAATAAAGGACAAAAAAATTGAGAAACGAGTGGTGAGTTTCAGCCCTGTCTGATGAAAACCAGTAAAATGATTATTTAAAAACGACCTCGCATCAGCGTCTCATTTTCAAATCATCAGTTTACTCTGCAGGATCCTGCAACACGTTCCGATCAGACAGTCGGTCACTGTTTTGGCCTATTCAAGGTACCGTAACGCGGTGCTGTCCCATTAAACCATCTGAGGCCCTCACAGCCTTCAGCTCCAGGTGAGCTCAGTCTGAGGGTTCAGGGTGGATGCTGTGATCGGACCAAAAACAAACCCGCAGGAAGTGTGAAGACCTTCAGCAGAGGAGCAGAGGGGTGTTTGATTTCTGTACCTGCGTGGTGAGGAGGAAGGGCTGGCGACCACCTCCCCCAGGGGCTGCTGGTAGGAGGAAGGTTCCGCTTGCTGTCTGCGTCAGGATGAGGGGCTGGGCCTGAGCCATGAGGGGCGGGGCCGCGGAGGCAGGCGACGGGGGGTGAGAGAGCGAGGAGGAGGTGACGATGGAGGGAGGAGGAGGCATCACAGAGGAGACGGTCCGTACGGGAGGAGACACTGAGGAACAGAAAAACCGAGAGTGAAATCAGTCGGCACCACGGGGGGTGATCGCTCCAGGGTTCGGTTCAGCCGGACTAAGTAAGGCTGAGGTGAACCCGCCCTCTTCATGGGACATCCCTACTTTTAACTGACCTCTGGAACACACACACGCACACACAAGTACCTGTTTGAGCAGGTGTGATGGACGGGGGAATCCCGGGGGGCGGAGTCTCAGAGGCCGGAAGAGGAGACAGAGAATCCTCCACTGGAGAGACAGACAGGTGTTACTGTTGAGTGCATCAGAGATGCTCACAAGTCTCTGAGCAAGAGTCCAAGTCAAGTCTCTGAGCAAGAGTCCAAGTCAAGTCTCTGAGCAAGAGTCCAAGTCAAGTCTCATGTCTCTGAGCAAGAGTCCAAGTCAAGTCTCTGAGCAAGAGTCCAAGTCAAGTCTCATGTCTCTGAGCAAGAGTCCAAGTCATGTCTCTGAGCAAGAGTCCAAGTCAAGTCTCTGAGCAAGAGTCCAAGTCAAGTCTCATGTCTCTGAGCAAGAGTCCAAGTCAAGTCTCTGAGCAAGAGTCCAAGTCATGTCTCATGTCTCTGAGCAAGAGTCCAAGTCAAGTCTCATGTCTCTGAGCAAGAGTCCAAGTCATGTCTCTGAGCAAGAGTCCAAGTCAAGTCTCTGAGCAAGAGTCCAAGTCAAGTCTCATGTCTCTGAGCAAGAGTCCAAGTCAAGTCTCTGAGCAAGAGTCCAAGTCAAGTCTCTGAGCAAGAGTCCAAGTCAAGTCTCATGTCTCTGAGCAAGAGTCCAAGTCAAGTCTCTGAGCAAGAGTCCAAGTCAAGTCTCATGTCTCTGAGCAAGAGTCCAAGTCAAGTCTCAAGTCTCTTGTGGTTATAATAAATGTTGTATCACCTGCTGTGTTCAATCCAGGCTTCTTATAAAACTGCAGAGCTATAACCTCCCGTAGCTCGTAGCTGAAGTAAGAAGCAAGCTAACGTTAGATGGCCACTGCTGGGCTAAACATGTTACTAACCAATTTTGCATTCAGGGCTTCTTTGTTTGGGTCTAGTTGTATGAAGTTTGATGAACGGCTCAGCAGCTGTTTGTTGTCCTCTCTCACGTGTAGCAGCTGATGCTACGTGTTACGTAGGCAGGTTATAGGTAACGCAGGGAGGGAATAACGGCACGCTCATCAGACGCTTCCTAAAAATAAACATTGTTCACGAGTCCCGCACCTCGAGTCCGAGTCGAATCTGAAGTCTTTTGAGGACGAGTCTCAAGTCGAGTCGTGTGCAACTTAAGTCAAACTCGAGTCTGAGTCTCAAACTCGAGTCCCCATGTCTGGTGCATGCGTCCAGTTCTCACCTGGCTCGCCGTAGTTGTCGACGAAGTCCATCTCGTCTTCCTCCACGCTGTCGTCCACCTGTTGCCATGGCTCCAGCTCCTCCTCCTCGCACTCCATAAACAACTCTGTATCCATGTTGCTATAGAAACCACAACAGCCTGTCAGCGTCACGACAAGGGCGAACCCTGACCTTTATCACTGCCATAAAGCAGACAAACAGCTGGAGACTTTAGCAGCAGCTCTGAAGCTTTCACTCGCACCACGTGAGCTTCAGTAAAAGGGGGCGCTGCCTGCTGTGAACTTTAAAGTTTGACGTTAGATATTTAAAGCACAGGGCCTTTAGAAACAACTGGAACTTGTTGGGCAATTAGCATTAATAAGTCTAATGTAGGTACATGGACAATATTTCAGCCACCACCTGGCTGATTTGGACCATCTGGGATGGTTTTGGGTGTTACTGAGGAGGCTGAAAGCGACCACGTGTCAGCCCCCCGGTGGGCGATGTTATTTATCTGCTTAATATAAAGGTGACAGGTGTGTTGAGACATTATATTCTTAATTAAGTTCTGCTCATGTGTTGACCTGTTTCACTCCCTTCTCTCTGTGAGGATTAAGCCACAGTCATGTTATCAGAAGGTGTCACGGGCTATGAACTAAAATGTTATGCATCGTTTGGATAATTGTGTTCATTAATATTCAACATTTAAATGATTTTCTGTCCTGACTGAAAACTGCCCACGAGGAGCTCAAACAGACACTTCTGCTCTAATTTTAAAATGTGGCTCCCCTGTAGCTGCTGTAATGTTGTCAGATTGGTGATTATGCTAATTCATGCTAATTATTTTAACTGCCCAACATATGTAAGTTAGCATCCGGCGGTTTCTAAATTCTGAAGACCCGTATTGGACTCTTGTTGTGGTGGTCTGACCTGAACCCAGCCTGAAAGGACCAAAGAGCTGAAGGCAGCCTGGTGGGTCTGGTTTCAGGTTCTGGCTGCTGTGAGACCAGATCAATAATACAAAGTCCCTCTTGTTACTGAGTTAGTTTTAAATAAAGTCGTATTAAACACAGTGAGCGGGATCCGTGCGGTGTAATGTCGCGCTGCGGCCGCACGGGGCGCTGTCCCCCGGCTCCTCTCGGGCTCTCTGTCTCTGTCCCCGCGGGGAGAGGAGCTCCTGTCCCGGCGGGAGGAACCTTAAAGTCCTGGCGGGTACAGAAACATTACAGGGTCCAGTCAGACCGGTTAATGCAGAGCCCGGGTAACTGTGAGCACGGAACCGGGCTGGAAACCCAGTTCAGCGCCCAGTCCGCCGCGGTGCGTTTGGTCTGTCTGCCTGCACCGCCCCGCCGGCAGCACATCGCTGCTGCAGACCAAGCGCTTCCTAAATGAACCTGCTGAACGGGCCTGCGTGTTAACCCGGTCCGGACCGAGCCGAGCCGAGCCGAGCTGGTCTTACCTGCTGTTGGAGCGGGACAGCGAAGCACGGACGGGTTCGCTCGGTTCTTCTCCGGCGCGCTTCGGTTGGACCGGAGGCGGGGGGCGGGTCTTCCTCCTGCTGTCGCTGTCAGTGCCGCAGATTGGCCCACAGCGGCAATACGTCACTTCCCGCTCAGACAGCGCTGTCTCTCATTGGTCGGGGGAAATTTTTCTGGAGGAACTGAAGTCCGTTCAGCTGCGGGTTTTCAGGGTGGCGGGGTCAAAGAGCTCCACAGCGGCCGGTCCGGCTCCGGTAAACCGGACTGAGCGAGACCACAACAGCAGCCAGACAAACAAACACAACAACAAGTCAACATGGAGGCCGAGACGCGCCAAAACAAGGCAGCACAGGCTCAGGGCAGGCCGCCATTTTGATTTAGTTGTTTTCAGGAGGGGCGGAGCTACAGAGTGACGTCAGGGGCAGAATTTTCTTTTGTTTTTATTTTTTTTAATATTTTATTTTCGACAGCAGACATAAATAAACATTATAAAAACAAAACGTATATACATGTACAAAATAAATAAAAACCGAGCGAACAGATTCCGTTAGAAATTAGTCTTTGTGGCCTTTTTATTTTTAGTGTCTCTGATCTGGTGCTGTTTCGATGCAGGTCTTGGTAAACATGTTTGGAGTCTGTCGATTTCTTTCTTGTGGTTTTGGAATTTCCCCAATAATAAAACCAACTGAACGTCTTTTTCCTGAAGTTGAATTGTTTCCCAGTTTTTGCTTCTTTTATAAAGTTCAACCAAAATATTCTACTGTACATTCAGTGATAAAACTGTTTCTGCATGTTGACAGAAAATTAATTCTAAATCAGCGTCTTCTTACTGGATATATACGATATATGTTAAAGCCTTTTACTTTATTGTTCAGACAGAATTTGTCAGAAATAACATGAAACAAAAACTCAACAGGTTTTCAGGGGTTCATGTTTCTGTTCCTTCGGATTAAAAAACATTATTTCAATAAGAGAGAATCTTTTCTCTGATTTCAGATCTTCAGAGAACAAAAACCAATAAAGTGACGGACATTTCCTGAACAAAGCATATCAGAAGCAGCTCATTTACTGCTCAGGGAAATCAAGAATAAAAAAAAATAATAAAGAATGTTTATTAATATTATTATTTAGGTCAATATTCTGGTTTATTCTGACCCAATACTGCAGTTTTTAAAGATTTAAATCCATTCCAGCTCTCTACAGTCTCACTACAAATTAATAATACTATTATTTATTGATCACGTGTCTGTCACATAGAGTACATAATTCCACACATTTTTATTTTTATTTGTATTTGTTCTATTTCTATTATTAATATTTCTGTTAATTTAATTCTGTGTAACATGAGCAACTGTAATGCAACAAATGTCCCCTCGGAGATCAATAAAGGATGTCTGATACATATAGTAGGTTATACACTCACCGGCCACTTTATTAGGTACACCTTGCTAGTAACGGGTTGGACCCCCTTTTGCCTTCAGAACATCTTCACTGGACTGAGATCTGGTGACTGTGGAGGCCACTAGAGGCCACTCAACTCACTGTCATGTTCAAGAAAGCAGATGATCTGAGCTTTGTGACATTATCCTGCTGGAAGCAGCCATCAGAAGACACCGTGGTCATAAAGGGACGGACATGATCAGCAACAAGACTCAGGGAGGCTGTCGCCTTCAAACGATGCTCAGTTGGTTCTGCGGGGCCCGAAGTGTGCAGAGAAAAATCCCCCACACATCACACCCCCACCAAGTGTTCTGCTGAAACACTTTCTGTTAGCGAATGAAGAGTAAAAGACTGAAGATCAGCAGCAACACAAGTGTGACTCAGAGATCTGACACAGGCACATTTTCTACACTCGTGAGCTGATCGACCGTCTTAAACAAACCGTTATTTTTTTATTTCACCTTTATTTTCCCAGGTAGGCCGACTGAGAACAAATTCTCATTTGCAACAACGACGTGGCCAAGATAAAGCAAAGTCCCGCAGAACAGCATGGACTTACACAGAATACAAATAAAAATACAAAGTGCAGCAGAGTCTGTGTGTGTCGGGCAGTTGGTATTCAAAGTACAGTAAAGAGTGACGAGCTTCTCTGTGCAAACTTAAACAAGATGTGGTAACTAAATACGGACGTGCAGAGACACTAATTACACAAGACAGAGCAGAGGTGGACAAAGTATTCAGATCCTTTACTTCAGTAAAAGTACTAATACCTCACTGTGAAAATACTCCGTTAGAAGTAAAACTACTGCATTGAAAATGTTATTTAAGTTAAAGTAAGTATAATCAGGAAAGTACTCATTGTCCTGTAACTGCTGCATTGATGTATATTATATTTCAGAGGATGCTGCTGCTGTCGTTGTTGAAGTTGAACTGTTCAGTTTCAGACTGCAGCTGGTGATTCTTCTCATCTCAGAGTGACGCCTTCACACTGTTTGTTCTGTCAGTTTAAACCTCAAAAAGATTCAAAACTCATTAAAATAATCTAAAGAAAAAGCAGCAAATCTTCACCTCAAATGCTGAAGATGAGAAATGACTTCAACGATAATTAGAATAACTACAGAACTAATGGAGCAGCTGCACTTTCTGAACTGTTTAATTTATAACTAACATCAGATTTCAGAAACTCTTCATGTGTCTTTGTAAAGTAACTGAAGCTGTCAGATAAATGTAGTGAAGTAAAAAGTTCTACATCTCCCTCTGAGATGGAGCAGAAGGAGAAAGTACTCAAGTAAAGTACAAGTACCTCTAATTTGTACTCAAGTCCTTGAGGAATATTCGTAGTTACTTGTGTTGGACACGTGGTTTTGTGGTGCATGTGATCTCTCAGTGATCCCAGAGCAGCTCTGTGGATAATCTGCTGTAATCTGAGTTAATCTGACCCTCCCCCTCCTCTCTGACCCCCTCGCCTCGCTCTCTTCAGTCTGTCCTGGACCTGCAGAGATGAGAGCTGCAGCTCCGGAAGGGTTCCTGGTTCTGCCGTGGCCCGGCGGCGCTGGCGTCTCGGGCCCGGAGGAGGAGGCCCGGGAGGATCTGCTGATGAGGAGCGGCGCTCTGCTGGGAGTCACACTGATCTGTAAGATTTTACTTCTGACTGCTGATCGTTCAGTCACTGTCTGTTCTGTCTTTGTCCACCTCGTGTGTCCACATGGGGCTGTAATGTCAGGACACTGACTCTGAGCGGGAGATCAGACCCTCATTGAAGTAGAAGTTCCTCACTGTGAAAACCAGTAAAAGTAGAAATTATAATCTAAACACAGAGAAATTTTGAAGGACATTTTCCAAATTTTTAATAAAAGACTCTTGTTGCTGTCGTGTGACTTGATCAGCCAATCAGCTCGTCTCTGTGAAGTTAAGTGCGATTAAATACTTCTGCATCAAACCAACGGCGTAGCCTCTGCGTAGCCCCCTACCCTACGCATACGCCTGACGTGCACCTCCTCATAAATGTAACTACACGTCGAGGTGACGCAGACCGTAAGCTCTGTGATTGGTCGGCTGGGCAGCCTCGCAATGCCTCCGAGCCGAAAGGAAGTGCCCGTGCTTTGAAGTAACTTTACTAGCAGCCAAAATGCCAGCTGTAACACGGCAGATCGATATATTTGAGCGTCACAACCCGAAAAACGACTCGTTTCATTATCAGAATGTGATCCACTCGGTCAATGAAGTCTAAAGTCTGTAACAGCCGCACGATTACAATTTTACCCCGGCCGGCAAAAGTCAACACAGTGGAAGCTTTAGCGCCACCGCTGACTAGCGTTTGGCGGTGTAACTGCAGAGCAACGGAGACACAGACGCACAAGTCTAAATGCTTGGCTACGCAAGTACACCCGACGCAGGAGTATAAATCAAGCTTTAGAGATGATCCAGTCGTACAGCTGGTGAAACGTATGGCTGTTTCCTTGAAATTCTTTAGGGGGCGCTATGGAGCCATTTTTCACACCAAAGCCTCCGAACCATAACAGAAGAAGCCTCCAGTTTGGCATTTTGGCCGTCACCATCTTGTTTTTTTGGAACCAGACATGACTATATTTGGACAAGAGGGTGGAGCTAGCTGGCTTGGTTAGCTAGCTGCATCTGTAGTTCACGTTAGCTGTGATATTAGCTAGGATGCTAATTTTGGCTAGCGACAAACAGGCTTAAAAATAAACGTTCTTACTGAAAAATTAGCAGCCGACTCCTGATGAGCTTTTTCAGCGGCGCTGGTTAAATGTTCACAGAGCAGCAGATACGAGTCACTTCTATCCTGATTGACAGGTCGCCATGGTAGCGACCTGTCAATCACCTTGTAGTCCCGCCCTAAAGCCTCCCCTGCTTCCTGGTCTCTGTTCCTCTAAATGGGACCATAATTTACTAAATGAACATCATGCTGTGTTGAAGAAGACTTGAAACTAGCGACTGAGACCAGAAACTCATCAGGAAAGTGTTTACTGAGGGAATAAATCAGCTGACAAGTAGAAACATTTTCTCACAGACTTCTATACAATCACACTTCTTTCTGCAGCCGCTGGAGTCGCCCCCTGCTGGCCGCTGGAGAGGACGCAGGTTTAAGTCGCCCCCTGCTGGCAGCTGGAGAGGACGCAGGTTTAAGTCGCCCCCTGCTGGCTGCTGGAGAGGACGCAGGTTTAAGTCGCCCCCTGCTGGCCGCTGGAGAGGACGCAGGTTTAAGTCGCCCCCTGCTGGCCGCTAGAGAGGACGCAGGTTTAAGTCGCCCCCTGCTGGCCGCTAGAGAGGACGCAGGTTTAAGTCGCCCCCTGCTGGCTGCTGGAGAGGACGCAGGTATAAGTCTCCCCCTGCTGGTTGCTGGAGAGGACGCAGGTTTAAGTCGCCCCCTGCTGGCTGCTGGAGAGGACGCAGGTTTAAGTCGCCCCCTGCTGGTTGCTAGAGAGGACGCAGGTATAAGTCGCCCCCTGCTGGCTGCTAGAGAGGACGCAGGTTTAAGTCGCCCCCTGCTGGCTGCTGGAGAGGACGCAGGTATAAGTCTCCCCCTGCTGGTTGCTAGAGAGGACGCAGGTTTAAGTCGCCCCCTGCTGGCTGCTGGAGAGGACGCAGGTATAAGTCTCCCCCTGCTGGCTGCTGGAGAGGACGCAGGTATAAGTCTCCCCCTGCTGGT